AGGGTGTCAGGAGTGCCTCATGTTCTCTTAGGCTGTAATACCTGAAATCAGGTCAGAGGACATTATGTAAAAGTGACTTATCCAATCAAATACAAATTTAATATAGACCTGACAAATACAGATGTGATGGAAGGAGGAACTCCATAAACCAACATAAAATCCATAAAAGCGAGTCATGGGGAAGCTAGTGACTTACTCCAGGGGTTTCAAAGATAGGACAAATAGGAAGAAAACATTAGCTCTTCTATACATATTTCCTTTTTATCTCATTTATTCAAAAATTCATTTTCTGCATGTTTTATAACATACGTAACAATACATAAGTATATAATATACATAAATAATTACCATATGTATATAAAATGGAGGTAATTGTTCAATTTATTTTTACTCATCACAATAGATATTAGGAGACCATTGATACAGTCTATGCATTTCAGCACCACCAAGTTAACGGTAACTCCAGAATAACACAAAAACCCACTAGTACAGTTCAGAATCCAAGAGTAAGAAATATATCAGCTTTCACAGAAAGACTAATTGGCGTCAACTAAAAAGCCCTCTCCCTACCCTTACAGGTTTTTTTTTTTTTTTTTTTAAAGCTCATCAAGCTTTAAAGGATCAATTTTCAGTGTCGGCTAAATCAGCCTGGTTTGTCCAAGGTTCCCAGGGTAATAGGACTAAAACATCTAATGGGAAAACTACTTGTGCAACCACAAATAGACAACGAATCAAGATATCCTCCTCATTCAACATAAAAGAATGTTTCTTTTATGAGAAAGCTACCAAGATTCCCAAGACAATTTAAAACAGCTTCTGTGATTCAGAATGTCACCCAATGGTGACAGCAAGAGATGCAGGGTCCATCCGCTGTAAGAAATGGGACAGAGATAACCCTAACCTTGTAATTGTTTTTCCAAAATACTGCAATTGTGAGTTCTCTCTGGTGGTAGGGAATGCTGTGAGGGAAAAGCCAGCAAGCGGAGAACCGCGTGAGAAAATTCGAAAAACTTTTAAATCTGAGGTGTCTGTACTTTTACTAATTCTTAAGCCTCCTCAACCCTAGGCTTCTAAGCAGAAGCCTCTCCTCGGTTTCGAAATTCGCCCCGGGGGCGTAACCCCACCTAGAAAAAGGGAGTGAAAGCATTTTCTGGATCGTGTTTGAGACCTATTCAGATTGAAATACACAAAAGTGCCATCATCTGCTAACAGGGAAATCTGAGCTTTGGACAACAGATGGGAAAGCACCAACCCGGGGAGAAAAAGGAGGTCCTACGTCCGGCATGGGGCAAAGAGAAGGGATCACTGACGTAATGCAGCTCTGACGAGAAATAAGGACGATAACAGGTAAAAAGCACTTACAGAACCCGGTGGGGAAGGGTGACGGGCGATACAACGATTAAGATGGGAGCAGAAATAACAGATAAAGATAGCGGTAAAACCGTAAGGAGAAATAGGAAATTAGGGAAGGCGTAGTGAGGTAGGGAGGCACAAAAGAATTACGGCGCAAGCCGGGAAACGAAGTGGAAAAGCCTGCAAGAAGAACACGTAGGAGAAAAAGGCGCAAGCCAACTTGCAGAATTCAGTCGCCAGAAAAGTCCAACTCAACCCTTCCCCGCCTCACAGTACCTTCAGCTTATGGAGCTCCACCGTCTCCGTCGCCATCTTGTTACCCCTCACTCCACTAGGGCCCCCACTCGCTGCCTCCGCCTCCAGGAGATCCCGCCTAGGCGTAGAGATCCTCAACTGACCAATCGCTGTCACTCTTACTCCCACCCCATACCATCAGCTCTTCCCATTAGTCAATAGGTGGCGTCGCTCTCACTCCTCGCCTCAGCTTTGCCCACGCCTCTCAAAAGGTGGGACAGGGAGACGGGCGGGTTCTACATCTTCCGAACGACAGAAATGGCAGCCAATTGTGTGTCCTCATTACATACCGCCAACCAATGGGTAATGGCAGCGCTGATTCTGTTCCACCAATAGCGAGAGCGCAGATGGATTGGCTACTTCCTGGAGACCACAGGTGTGGAAGCGAGAGTTGCGCCCCTAACCGGACGGGCTTCTGAAGCTGGCAGGTAGGGGCTGCCGAGAGGCTGGAAAGGGTTACCGAAGAAAAATGGTGGGCGGCGAAAGGGGTGGCGAGTTGAAAACCGAAAGGGGAACGCTGAAGAGAGCCCTGAAAGGAACGAGAGGGAAGCTGGGAGGAGCATGGGGCCGGTTCAATACTAGGGTTTAGAGAATTTTAGAAGAGGGGACGGGCAAGAACTACTTCCTAAACCAGGCTTCATCAGCTTTAGAGCTAGCACGATTTTAAACACCCAAATTAAGACGATCACACCTGCCCCTGGAGTCAGGGCTAAGGCTCCATCTCTCGAAGCGTTGAGTTCAGGTCCCTTCCTAGCCCAGTCCAGAAGCCCTGCGCAAGTTCTTGCAGCTAGAGAGAAGGAATGGGGATGTCAGCTGCTTACATGCCAAGGGCGTGAGGGACAGGGCGAACAAGCTCCAGAGAAAAAGGTGGGGCCTAAAGTTAGCTTTATTCTCATCCCTTCCTAGTGGTTCCCTGATTGATTCCACGACTCTCTTCTGGAATCCTGGGTGTATGTGACCTCTTCACGATTCCTTATTAACTTCAAGAAAGTGAAGTGAGACACTGTTTCCCTTGCTCCTTCCTTTAAGTGGATGACCCAAAGCTAGGCTTATACCTTCATGTTACAGTTGAAGTGTAAAGATTAGAGTAAAAATTATCATGTCTCTAAAATGAAAGGACTCTTCTATCTAGCCATTTAAAGTTTTCCCCAAGTCTTCAGTTTTTCTTTTCTGTGTGATGAGGAAGTTCTTTCATTCCAAGAGTTCAGGGGACTTTGATTATTCAGGAGACAACTGGGAGAACAAACTCAAAAAGGGATTTAAAGTAAACTGAGTTGATCTCCTGCCTGATCACCCGTTATGGTAGGATGAACGTGGGGGTGGCACACAGCGAAGTAAACCCCAACACTCGAGTGATGAACAGCCGGGGCATCTGGCTGGCCTACATCATCTTGGTAGGACTGCTGCATGTGGTTCTACTCAGCATCCCCTTCTTCAGCATTCCTGTTGTCTGGACTCTGACCAACGTCATCCATAACTTGGTGAGCACCAAACCACACCTTTGTACCCACCCCAGGCCTTTCCCAACCAAAACCAAAATAAAATCATTAATTGTTTGGGGATTTATGTCTTCCTTTTGGGATCTTTGCATAATTCTTGGGCTGAAGAACTATTTTCTGCCCTTCACACTGCCCCCTTCCCTCTTCCCAGGCAATGTATGTCTTCCTACATACGGTGAAAGGGACACCTTTTGAAACCCCTGACCAAGGAAAGGCTCGGCTACTGACACACTGGGAGCAGATGGACTATGGGCTCCAGTTTACCTCTTCCCGCAAGTTCCTCTGCATCTCTCCTATTGTGCTGTGAGTCTATGCTGTGTTAGAAAGAGTTCCAAGAGCCAGGTTGAAAGGCCCATAGAGAAGCTTTTAAAAAGCAAGCTATTCAAGTGAGACTCTTTGAAGGTACTATGGTATACTAACTCTAAGTCCACAGAGAGCACTAAAAGTAGAAGACAGTGGGGCCAGGCGTCGTGGCTTACACCTGAAATCCCAGCACTTTAGGAGGCCAAGGCAGGAGGATCACTTGAGGCCAGGAGTTCAAGACCAGCCTGAGGAAGAGCGAGACCACATATCTACAAAAAAATAGAAAAATTAGCCAAGTGTAGTGGCACACACCTGTAGTCCCAGCTACTCAGGAGGCTGATGCAGAAAGATGGCTTGAGCCTAGCCTTTGAGCTACGATGACACCACTGCACTCTAGCTGGGGTGACAGAGCAAGACCCTGTCTCAAAAAAAAAAAAAGTAGAAGACAGTGCTGTAATCAAACATCCCTTCCCTTGCTGCCTCCTTAGTAGTGGGGGAATGAAGGGACTGAGAAAATATAAAATGCCAAGTAAAACCAAATGATTTTATACTTCTAAAATAAGTGAAGAGATAAAGGCAGAACTAATGTTACTCTTCAGAACACTTTGGGGAGTGGAAGCAAAGAGGACTCTTAACAGTCATACAGGCTGAACCAGCTTCAGCTGTCATTTGCCAGATCATTAACAGTGAAGAAACACAAACTGACTTATATCTCCAGTTAAAGGTGGTATCTGATTATCTCCTGAACCCCCAAGTAAATATTGTTGATATAGCTAGAATATTTTCAGATAACCTAGGACTACATGCAATAAAACTGGCAAGTGCCTAGTCCCAGCTACTCAGGACGCTGAAGCAGGAGAACTGCTTGACTCCAGTTCAGTGGCTGTAGTGCACTATGATCATGCCTGTGAATGGCTACTGCACTCCAGCCTGGGCAACATAGCAAGATCCTGCCTCTTAAAAAAAACCTTTTTTTAATTAAAAAAAAAAGTCACTAGAAAGGCATGAATTTGGATAGGGAAGGCCAACCTCACTCATCCTATTTTTTCTTTCCCCAGCTACCTCCTGGCCAGCTTCTATACCAAGTATGATGCTGCTCACTTCCTGATCAACACAGCCTCACTGCTCAGTGTACTGTTGCCCAAGTTGCCCCAATTCCATGGGGTTCGTGTCTTTGGCATCAACAAATACTGAGGGATGGGGCTGGGAACAGCTCCACAGACATGGGGAAAGCATGGGAACAAGGGGCTATAATATCCTTCCCTTCTTCTCCATATTTTCTTCTATATCTTGATAGCCTGAGAACTATACAACCTTTCTCAAGCTCCAAGGAAGAGAAGAGATTGGAAAATGGGGCTCTTGGCCCAGCCCTACTAGGGGCAAGTTTCTTTCAATCAGGAAAGGCAGATGAGGTAAGGGCCAAATCATTGTCCTCTGTAGTAGGAAGCCATGTTTGGGACAGCTAGTTTGGTGATTACATTTTTCCATATCTTCTACCCCTACCACCTTCTAGCTCTATTTTGCTGTATATTTTCCTTATAATAAAGAAAATTTTTTCAGCTATGGCTGCAATTTGATCAGCAGGCAAGGTAGGGAGATGTCCTCATAAGGCTGGGGAGGAAAGATGGAATACTGAATTACTATATAAAACCTTAAGCAATTTTTTAATTCCCTCTCCTTTGGTCCAGTAGGAGGTGCCCTTCACTCTCAGCTAACATGTAGTAGGGAAAGGATTCTCAAATGAGAAAAAGGGCTCCAGCTGTATGGGCAAAGAAGAGAGGGAAGGTACAATTTGCCAGTTATGTATTTATAGAAAGATAATCCCCTGGCTTTAAATAGATATATACATACAAATATGAACAAACTTAAAAAAATACAAACCCTTGGATCACAAAAAACAAGGGGGCTTCTTGGAATCCCCTTAGCCTTCCCCTTCATCCAAGGGTAGCAGGCATGAGTCTCCTTTTTAAAAATTATTAATCTTGGCCATCCTTGCAGCAACAAGCCTGAAATTGGGCGATTTACCCACAAGGTGAAAGGGAAAATTCAGAGTTTCCACTCTGAACTCTATGCATCTCCTATAATTAGGGCTACATGCTTTCTTGTTCTGTCTTTTAACTATTATTCAGGGGGAAGGAGGGAGCTCCCTCCTGAAATGGGTCAAGAAATAAGATAGACTGATAGTTTAAAAACAGGGGGAGGAGTGTCATCTGTTCTAAAAGCAAATGACAAGACAAAGGCATATAGACCCCAGGAAAATACCCAGTTCCCACACCTCAAAGGGATATATTGTCCAAGCCCTAAGTTCTTTGCTCTAGCCACTCCCTATTTCTTTGGTATTGTCAGAAGACAAGATTCAGTTACCGGGTACTGGGGGAGAGGGGACAGTGGTTCAGGGGCTTCCTACGAGTACTGAGAAATGATTTAAGCTTTCCCTTTTTAAAATATTTAAAAATAAACAAATCAAACTCCATCCTGTGCTGTACACAGCCCTTTTGACTCCCTGACATTGATTTGAGGAAAGAAGAAAAGGGGTGTCAACGTTGGAAGGGCCTCCTAACTTTCTTCCGCCGCTTCGGTTTGGCTTCTCCCTTGGGTACTGTGCTGTTAGGCTTAGAGGCTGCAGTGGCCCCAGGGCCAGGCTGAGGAGCTGCAAAGAAGTTCCCACTGGACATCTGGCCTGGGGGTACTTGAAAGATCCGGCTCAAGAAATCCTGAAGGTCAGCGGGAGGGGAATCTGGGGTGGCTCTGAGAGAAAACAGAAGGAATAATAAGGCAAGTGATGTTAGAGCTATGGTTACCTAAGTTAAAGATACAGGTATACCAAGTCAGTTCCCAAACTTTCCAGAAAGTGAGGCACCTAGGTATCCTAAATAGCAGGTCATTGGAAACGACATTCAAAACCAAAACAGTGGACAGATTACTGACAGAAACATCACCTACCTCTGCCGCCCACTGGTGCCTGGGATCCGAGAACCAAATGAGATATGATAGGGGACTCTGTGGGTATCTGGGGAGATTCCTACACGCTGGCATCCAGCCCACTCTGCAAATGTGAGAAATAATTAGCCAAAACATCACAGTTTAGAGCACATATGAGGTCACTTAGTATAAGCCCATATTTTTAGAGGACAGAAGAGTACCTGTAATGTCATACACCTTTCCATCCATCAATGCAAAGTAGGTGATCTTGAGGCCCAACATGCTTGACTCTGCCCAAAAGTCTCCTTCTTCAGCAGGATGTAGCCTATTACACTCAGCACAGTATCTGGCACTCTTAGGTTCTCGGTCCATTTCAAACCTCCTACAGCCCAACAAAAGGATAGTTCCTTAATAATTTGTGAAGTCTCCATAAGCATAATGTTTTGCAAAAATAAATAAATAAATAAATAAAAGTAATTTGTCAAGCCTACCTAGGGCAATGCTAGTAGTCTCATCATTACAAATACGGCTGAAACACCCAAAATCATCTCCACTTAGTTGTTTCATATGCCTATGGACCCCCTTGCCTTCAACCTTCTATCTTAAAGCTAATTTTTTTTTTTCCTTACTGCTAATTCAAATCCTATATCTCTTGAGAGTACGGCAAAGGTAGAAAACTCAGGGTCTTTTTACTCATCATCTGTATCTCACAATTACCAGTAATTACCAAGGAAAGTCTTTGGTTACCCAATCCCTGAGCTGTGGCTGTCCCATCCCTGTCCTCCTATTTCATACCTGTGCTTTCCTTGGCATCGGCTACACATCATAGTATTCATTGCCTCCTTGAGGTCATCTTGTAGCTTGGACAGAAACTCATTCACTGATCGGCTCAGCTCATTCTCTGCCATTCGTTTCCTAAGAGAAGAAAGGCTTTTTAAGTCAGAGGGTACTGAGGGAAGGCAAAGGGAGATCTACTGGCCTCTTCGGGCCCCTGGCTAGCTAGAAATACAAGCAACTTCAGCTCCCTCCACCTCAAAGGGCCTTCATGCACAAGTCCAGGGGTCTCTCCTATTGTGAATTTTTCATTTATCTCATCTGACAATTTCCCATCTCCAACTTACATCTCATACTCCTTCCGCCTTTCAGCATTGCTGACAATGTCCCAAGCTGCCCGCAATACCTTGAAGGCCTCCTCAGCCCTTGGATGATGATTTTTGTCAGGATGAACCTAACAAGACAAGACATTTCATCACAAATCCATTCCAACCTTCTCTGTATCTTGGTTCTATTCTCATATCAAAGGGTTCTCTTTAATTGCCCTTTTGAAGAGTCACTGTAGCTTAATGATTAATTGCTCTGGCTCTGCAGACAGATCTGGGTTCAAGTCACAGCTCTGTCACTTATTAGCTATATTACCTTCAATAGTTCATTATGGATTGTTGGGAGGATTAAATAGGAATACGTATGAAGTATATAGTATAGAATCTGGCACTAGTGTACTCCACCATCCTAATTGCCTGGGACTATCCCAGTTTTAGCACTAAAAATCCTGTGTCTCAGGAAACTCCTCAATCCCAGGTGAACAGGGATGGTCAGTTTTCCTACCTGGCACACATATACTAAGCCCTTGCATTTTAATTTTATTATCAGTCATAAAGTAAGGGTTCCAAAGATCTTACCTCTTCAAACTCATTTTTTAAACTAGAAAATCTTCATATCCAAAACTTTCTATAATAATCTGCCTTTCTGTCCCAGAAATGAAATATCAGGTTGGTGCAAAAGTAACTGCGGTTTAAGCATTGTTGAAATTTGCCATTTGATATTGGAATACATTCTTAAATAAATGAGGTTATGTTATACATCATTTTAATGTGCATTTCGTGCTTTATTTATTTATTTTTTTTGCTAATGACTTATTACTTGCTGTTTATATTTATTTTAGACTATGGAAATGATTTTAGACAAAAAAAAAATTCAAGTGATTTTCTTATTCAAGTTCGTAAAGCAGCAGGAAACAACTCGCAACATCAACAGTGGCCCAGGAACTGCTAATGACCGTACAGTGTAGTGGAGGTTCAAGAATTTTTGCTAAGGAGATGAGAAGCCTTGAAGATGAGGAGCAGTGGCCAGCCATCAGAAGTTGACAATGACCAATGGAGAGCAATCATGGAAGCTGATGCTCTTACAACTACACAAGAAGTTGCTGAAGAACTCAACGTCGACCATTCTAGTCAACCATTCGACAGTCATTCAGCATTTGAAGCAAATTGGAGAAGTGAAAAAGCTTGATAAGTGGGTGCCTCATGAGCTGACCGAAAATCAAAAAAGTCATTGTTTTAAAGTGTTGTCTTCTCTTATTGTACACAACAATTAACCATTCTCGATCAGATTGTGATGTGCGACGAAAAGTGGATTTTATACGACAACCGGCGACAACCAGCTCAGTGGTTGGACCAAGAAGAAGCTCCAAAGCACTTCCCAAAGCCAAACTTGCAGCAAAAAATGGTCATGGTGGTCTGTTGCCGGTCTGATCGACTACAGCTTTCTGAATCCTGGCGAAACCATTACATCTGTACACTCATCATATTGATGAGATGCACCAAAAACTGCAACACCTTCAGCCGGCATTGGTCAACAGAAAGGGCCCAATTCTTCTCCACGACAGTACCCGACCACACATCGCATAACCAACGCTTCAAAAGTTGCAGAAAGTTTTTCCTCATCTGCCATATTCACCTGACCTCTCGCCAACCAACTGCCACTTGAAGCATCTCAAAAACTTTTTGCAGGGAAAATGCTTCCACAACCAGGAGGATGCAGAAAATGCTTTCCAAGAGTTTGCTGAATCCCGAAGCACGGATTTTTACAGTACAGGAATAAACAAACTTATTTTTTATTGGCAACAATATGTTGATTGTAATGGTTCCTATTTTGATTAATAAAGATGTATTTGAGCCTAGTTATAATGATTAAAAATTCATGGTCCAAAACCGTGATTACTTTTGCACCAACCTAATAGCATTTTGTGATCTCAGAGGTTTCTTATATATTTCTCAGCCTTTTCTCCAAAACAAATAACATCCTTCTCTTCCTACAGCTTCCTGATTGTTCCCATCCCCATTCCCCAAATATACAGAAATAAAGCTAGTCTACTGACTGATCCCAAATAAACAGAATGCTGTTATATTTACCACATTCCCAAGCTAATAGAACAGCCTTTTAGTCATGTTCACACTGAGACCTAATGAGGTTCTAAAAAAGCCCACAGACACTCTGGCCCAGAACAAGAGAGATCTTTGGGGCATAGGGGCAGATGTGTTGAGGGTGGAGGAACTTAACTACATCTCTACTCCAAGAGAAGTTGAAAAATGAGAAGTTTTGTAAGAATGATATTCCCCAAGAGAGGATGTCTGCTAAAAGACATGAAGGTGAGAAAAGAGCTCTACTATTAGTAACAATTTGAGGGTAAGCAGTTGTTACCTACTCTAAGAATATCCCAGGCTATCCACTAAGGAGCATGCATTTCCCACAAAAGTAATTTAGTCCTTCTTCAAGTCACAGGCCTGGTGGTTTATTGTACCTTTAATCATTAATAGTAACCTTAGTTGCCCATTGCTCTTTGGTGTGATGCAATCATTGAGGTAATTTGCACACTGTGATGTTTTGCCAGTCCAGCTCCACACACTCAGTAAAAATGTGCCTCCAATGCAATTCAGACATTACTTATTTTTATAATATAGTTTTCCTTGTACAGAAATAGTAGTAACAATCACATATCTAATAATAGCAACTTAATATCTACTTCTAATAACAATTTGATTGCGTGCTTGTATTAAACCATTTCCCTTAAGCATATGGTGCATCACAACTTCCACCTGTATACCCCCTTATCAATAAAAGCAACCACATTTTCATGTATGACATACATATGCATTCACCTGTCTATGATTTACATTCCACTTTCCTTCCCTTTCCTATTCTGAGTTGCTGGTCTTGAAACAGGCTGTTGTCTTCTATCTGGTCCTGGAATAATCATTCACATGCATTCCCTGAACCCTCCCCACACTAAGTCCATACTTGCCTTTCTGGGAGAAATAGTTGGGTTTCCCCATGTTTAAAAAGACCCCTTGGCCGGGCGTGGCTCACGCCTGTAATCCTAGCTCTCTGGGAGGCCGAGGTGGGCGGATTGTTTGAGCTCAGGAGTTCAAGACCAGCCTGAGCAAGAGCGAGACCCCGTCTCTACTAAAAATAGAAAGAAATTAATTGGACAACTAAAAATATATACAAAAAATTAGCCGGGCATGGTGGCGCATGCCTGTAGTCCCAGCTACTCGGGAGGCTGAGGCAGGAGGATCGCTTGAGCCCAGGAGTTTGAGGTTGCTGTGAGCTAGGCTGACGCCACGGCACTCACGCCCGGGCAAAACAGTGAGACTCTGTCTCAAAAAAAAAAAAGACCCCTCATTTGTTAAGGGGAGAGCAACTGGGGTACTCTCTGACCAGGCCTCTTCCTCGCCCTAGTTAGAAGGACGTCACCTAAATATTCCAGGGTGAGTGAGTTCTACACTGCCTGATACACCAGGTTCAAAAAAAAAAAAAATCTCATGACAAAAAACTGAAAACGGAGGGAAGATCAGATCCCATAGTAGAGGAGATAAAGTTTTTATGACTCTTTCCTAAGAATATGTTACCCTTCAGCCTCAAGTTGACTTTCCACTCTGCCTTCCCTTTATTCCACTCTCCCTAAAATTGAACTAGAAAATAAAATATGGGAACAAAAGAGGAAAAGGTAACTGAGCAGAAAGTACTCACCATCACTGCCAGCTGTCTATAGGCCTTCTTCAGTTCAACATCTGATGCTGTAGCTTCAACCCCCAGCACATGGAAAGGGTTTAGCTCATCCTCAGGAACCCCGGCCATGGTCAAGAGTCGAGCCACTTCCTCTTCAGGCTGGTAGTAGCGCCCACTAGCTACAGGTGTATTCTCCTGCCTATTAGTCCTCTGTCTGACCCAAGGTAACTCCAGCCAGCCCCACTGAACTATTTTTACCAGCTGTTGCCATAACCTGCTATCTCTCAACAGCGTCAAGCAACGCTGCAAGGCAGGAGAATCCAACCAAGAGAAGAGCCAGGTGGCCTTATCCCTCCAGCCTAATCGGTCACCCAGTCCCACCAGAAACCGCCAGCCCAACTGTAGACAGCCCAAAAGGAGGGCCACAGCCAGAAGCAGCAAAGCACCCAGTAGCCTAAGTAGACGGGTAAACAACCCTGCCCCATAATAAAACCCCTGGCTTAGAAATTGGAACATCACTTGGGCCCAGCCGCCCAGCCTCCCTGCCCAGACTCCCACCCAAACTCGAAAAAGGTCCAGATCGCTGCTTTTCAGCTGCCTGCATGCATAGATGAGATGGCCACAAGTTTCTACGTACTCTCCCACCAATACCAGCAGTTCAATCAGCCCCCAGAAACCCGCCTGTCCAAGCTGACATAGTTCCTCTGCTCCCCACAATCCCAGGCCTCTGCGCTTATCTGCCTGACTTCGCTTCCGCCCTAGCCGATGTCGACCAGGGGATCTGGGATCTCTGCGTCCACCCTCCCGAGAATCCTCCTTGGTTGGAAAGCGGTGCCGCTGTTTGCGGGATGGGGGTTTCCTTCCACTGGACACACGTGAAAAATCACTGGGGAACTTAAGAGGTTCTTCATCATCATATTCCTCTTCCAACTCTTCATCTTCCCCCAAGGCTGGAGAGGTACAATGGTGGCAAAAGTTGCTAGAAGAGCCATCTCCTCCGTCAGAGTAAGGCCCTTCAGGGATTCCAGAGGTTCCCTGGCAGTTGCAAGCAGATGGAATGGAAAGAAAAGAAGGGTTCCCATTCTCCTGGTAACCAGCCACATTCTCCCTTGAGAGTTCCTGGTCCACTCCTGACTCTTCTTCTGAAGATGTCTCACTCTGATCAGGGTCCTCTCCGTCCCTAGGTGGTCCTGGACCCCTTGGGGGGCCATGGCTTGGATCCGACCAATGGGCTGGGTTTGGGGGCTGTGTGTACTTAGGACCAGAGTGCTCTGTGAGGCAGCGGGTACCATTAGGAGCAGTCTCTGCTGAGTCCCTGAGTCCTGAGAATGAAAGTATTTCAGGGTCCACAGAGGGTCCTAAAGTCCTGAGGGGGGAACCACCACTGTGGTGGGCTCCACACAACCCTCCTTCTCCGGGGTGCTTCTGGGCCATGACCCCGGGGCTTCCTGAGGGTCTTAGGTCACAGCCATCATGGTAAGTTCTGATGCCTGTAACAAAGATATCAAGGTAGGAATGGTCAAGGATAGGACCAAGAGAAGTGTTAAATAATCTTAAATTCGGGACACATTTAATGCACCCCTCTCCCATGTTTTCCTAAGTTCTTCTGGGGCATTTCCTACCCCTAGTAATAAGCCAGAACTACACACTAACCACAGCCCTGCTTGCTCCCTCCCTCCTCCTCCAAATCCCTTAGTTTTTCTTCTTTCCCCAGAAAGCTATAATCTTCAAGCAGGAAAAAAAAACGAGCTACCGCAAAGGGTGTGGTCGGGGGATCACTCTTAGGAAAAAAGGAAAGACGGCCGGAAAGGGGGACCGCAGACTCCCAGAAAAGGGTGGAGACTGTGCGGCCCTTAAGGAAAACCTGGGGGCGGAGCTTAGAATTGCCCCCGAGAAAGGCAACCAGGGAACCCACCGGCAGGGTAGAAGGGGCGAAGGTAACGTACCAAAGAGCGGCGGTAACTCCTCCCCCTCGAGCAACTGGGCCTGAAGCCAGGGGGAGCTACGAGAGCAGCTCCCCCGGCTCCGCCTCCCGCTCACACTCTGCTTCCGCCTTCCGTCCCCCCGCGGCCGCCGACCTGCGCCTACTTCCACTTCCGGGGTCAAGGGGGAAGAGACGGGAAAGAAAAGAAAAAGCGGTTGGCCAAGGCGCGAGCCAGTCCAGCAAGCGCTGAGTCAAATCAGAGGAGGTGGTCTTAGGGAGGCGCTGGCCCCGCCCCTTAAAGGGCCCTCTGCTGTCGCCCTCGGCGTGCTGGAATGGGATCCCCGCAAGTTGCACCGCTGGAAGCGAAGCAAGTGGGCTCCGCACCAATGCCTGCGGACTGGGGGCAGACTCTCAGGATTGCTCTGGTTGTATTCCCGGGCAGACTCTCAGGATTGCTCTGGTTGTATTCCCGAGCTTTGCCGAAACTGGGAGATGAAAGACAGCCACCAAGCCATACATAGTCTGTTTCCCTTGCAGACAAAACCAGAGAGCTGAAAGGAGTCACTGCCCTGATTCTTTCCCTGCCGGCTGCAGCGAGGACAGAGGCCCCTTTGTATTCAGCGGAGGTGGATCGCAGGAGACGATGCCCCGGGCTAGCCCCCGCCCAGGCCCGGCAGCGCGGCCCCTCCTTTCGCAGCAACCCTCAGCCTCCCCCGCGCCTGACCCAGCTGGCGAGCTGCCCTTATAACTGTAGTTCCTACGGCCCGGATCCGCCCCTCTGGACGCAGCTCCCAGGCCCGGTCACGGAGCGGTGCCGGGGGACTGGGAGCGTAGCTCCGCTGGCCTCAGAACCATAGCCGAGTGCCAAAGAACACTGAACTCTTCTGCATGCTGCTTTGCATCTCATCTGCATACCAAGCCATTCTGTCGGCGTCGCTACGCGCCCCCGCCCCCACGCAGACCCAGCTAGGTCCCCTCTCTGTCGGTCCCCTTTTCTGCACACGTCGCTAGCCTTACAGCGCTCCTGTCAGTGCCCCTTCTAGTCCCCGTCTTGCTCCACAAGTTATTCCACCCATGAATCCCCCGTCGGCGCTCCCAGACCAGTAAAAGTCCCTTCCCGGGGTCCCCGGTCCCGACCACCCGGTTCTCCACAAGACAATACTTCAATTCTCTGGGAAGTGGAAGAAACCAAGCTGAGGCCAGGGGGGCGTTGGGACCCAGCTGGGGATTTGAGAGCTTTGAGTTGTCGAATCATCTCCTAAGAATTCAGGAACCTTTCCCAGAAACTCTTGCGGTGCCTCCCTAGACCCTTCCCTGCTATGATTCGGGGTCTCTGATCGTAGACTAGAGCAGTAGGCAACCTGGGTCCCCCCACACACAGGAGAAAGGGTTGGAGGGGCCCGCCCCGTGATGTCACTCCCCCACCACACTCACACACCCTGTCCCCTTCCTCCACTCCCCCCACCCCACCCCCAGCTAGTTGCATTTAGTTCACAGGGCTTGGGCTACGACTTGCAAGAGTTTAGGGTGCAACGAACAGAGTGGCCCTGGAGTGCCCTCCACCAACAGCCGCCCCGGCGCCTAGGACCTCCGGGCAGGGATGCAGCCGGGGGTCTAGGGAAGCACTTCCACCCCTCCTCTCCTCAGCCCTGGCAGGGTGGTGAGTAGTTAACACCCCCTCCCCAACCTCCCCTTGTTTAGGGTCCTCAGACTTACAAGCGGATTGAGGCGAGGAGCCCCAAGAATTCCCCAAACCAACCCTCCAGCCTTTTAGGACCTTGATGTCCAAAAGACAGCTCAAATAAAGTGCCTGCACCCATGCCACCACAGTGCCCCAAATGCCAGCCCCTCCTTGGTGTTCCCCTTTCCAGATCTGAATTCAAATCCCATTGGCAGTCCTGACACCCCTGGGGGAAGGGTAGTGTAGGAAAAGTACCACCAGTGTCCTGAAGGGAGGAGGAAGTGACTACCACGATGTGAGATGGCTGTAGGCAATACGCCTGCTTATTCCATGGGGGTCTGTGGGATTTGGACTGCGGCTGAATGCCCCTTCCCCCAACAACTCCATCTAGGCATGAAATTGAGGCTTCAAAATCCCGACAAATTGTGGATGACTGTCTCAACTTAATTCCTTGTCCCAAATTCTTGGTGTCTGTTTTTTTCCCTCTTTCTTCCCTAGGGTTCCGAGCAGCTGTTGGGAGACCCTACCATGATTCATCTCGCCTCTTCCTCCTCCCTCTCTCCTCTCTATTAACCCCGCCATTCCCAATCCAGTGGGGTAGTATAGAGTCGCAGCTGCAGATGGGGCAAGCTTTCTTTTCTACTGGAACAGGCTGCTGAGACTTTAGCTCCCAGTCCCCTTAGTGTCTCTGTGCCCCTCCCTCCACACAGCCAGGGCTTCCTGCCCCTCCCACCCTCACCCTAGAAAGCTGTGGAGGTTGACAAATGCTTGTTGCCTTATGAGATTTTCATTAAAGTTTTACTTAGTGTTCTTGTTTCAGAGGGCAATAAAGAGACATCAGGCTCCCCCAACCCAATCCTGTAGATTTCTTTAGTTATCCCAACAGGGTCATGGTTCCTCCTGAAATCAACCCTTCTTCAAAAAATGGAAGTACAGAGTTCTCAGGATTCATGGGCACCTGAATTTCTTTCCTCTACCCCCTTGCAGGTTTCCCAGCCCCCTCAAGACATTCATGGATGGATGAGAGGAGCTGACATGACCTCCCACTCTGTGACCACTTTCTCTTTGGCCATGGAGGAAGCCTTGTTGCCCCTGGCTGTGATGTCTGACTCCAGGCCCTTTAATCAACAACTCCCAGAGCCTCCAGAACCAAGTTGTGTTTTGGAACCCCAGGACAATCCTGAACTGGCACCTGCCTTGGTGTGTGCCCTTTGCTGCTGTTTTGGAATCATCTACTGCTGCTTCGGTGAGGGCAGGGCCAAGGTCCTGGGGGGCAGCTGCCCGAGGCCATCACCCTTAAGGATGATGCCAGCTTTCTTCCTTACTCAGGTTTACCTTGCCTCCTCTACCAGGAAATGCCTATCTTCAGTGTGGCCCATGTTGCTCTTGCCAGCTTCTTGTCCATTCCTTATGCCCATATCCTCTGGGTCTGACCTCTGGCATCTATCATTTGCCCTCTTCTTGCCTCCTACCTCAAAACTCCATTCCTAAATTATCCCCCGTACTTAAGCCTTCTTATCCATCCCCAAAAACCTGAATCAGCCTGTGCCGATTTCTTCCTATCTGCCATCCCTGGAAGGACTAGACCCTCTTTCTATACTTATTCTCCTCAATGCATTCATCTTACCTCCTGATTTTCCCTCTCATTCCCTCACTGTTCCAGAAAAGCCCCCCTGCGCTCCCTGAGATTATCCCTTTCTGCCCCTGGCTTTGAGGTCCCTTGGTGTGCTGCTTCTGTCTTCTGCTCCTCTGGTTAGCCATTCCTCTCCCCTCAAATTCATCAGAGCCATCCCTGTAGAACCCTCTTTCTGCCTCTCAGTGCCTCCCGCCTCCCTTCCCAGGCTACCGCTGCTTCAAGGCAGTGATGTTTCTCTCGGGCCTGCTGTCAGGAGCTCTGGTGATCTTCCTGCTGTGCCACAAGGAGCGGGTGCTGGAGACACAGCTGAGCCTGGAGGTGAGCGCGGGCATCGCGCTGGGCATTGGACTCCTCTGCGGTCTGGTCACCATGCTGGTTCGCAGTGTTGGACTCTTCCTGACTGGTCTCCTGCTAGGCCTGACCCTGGGTGCTGGGGCCCTGCTGAGCACCGAGCCCATCTACCAACCACCTTCAGCCTGGGTGCCAGGTGGGGGGCTGGTGGGGCTGGCACTGCTGGGAGCCCTGCTTACACTTCGGTGGCCACGTCTATTCACAACTCTGGGCACAGCCCTGCTGGGTGCTGCGGTGCTGGTGGCCTGTGCTGACTACTTCCTGGAGGAGCTAGCACTGGGCAGTCGGTTGGGCCAACGCCTGCAGGCACTTCCAGCCTTGCCTCCTCTCTGCTGGTATAGCTGGGTCTTGCTGGGGACCTGGCCAGCCTTGGGGGTCCTTGGGGCTCTGGCCCAGTGGAAGCTCATGGCTGAGGAACATGGAGGCCACGACAACGGTGAGTTAGTGCCATGGTACAGAAGCACCAACCTGTGCCTACTCATGTCCCCGGTTCCTAGACTTGAGGAGTGGAAGGGGAGAAATATACTTGAGGGAGGAGGATGGGGGAGGATGTCCAATGTGAATGGGGCAGGACATTGAACATAAGTTAGAGTTGAAGGAGCCAAAGAAGGTCTGGGTAAGAATGAGAAGAGAATTTGTCAGAGGAAGCAAGGAAGAGTTATTGGGGACTATTATGGAAGGAAAGGAGGATCTCAGGGAAGTCTAGAAGGAAAGAGTAGAGTTTCCTCTTCAAAGAAGAGTTTCCTTTAGAATAAATGGGAAGAAGGTGAGTCTTGAGAGAACCATAACAGGAAGGCCAGATGGGTTGCTCTAGAGTATGAGTGCATTTAAGGGTGGGATTCAGGGTCTAAAGAGGCCTCCTTGAGTCCGTATTGCTCCCTCTCAAGCAGTGGTCTTGAGCCACCAACGGAGGCATCTCCAACTCCTTCGGATCCGTCAACAAGAGGCCAAGTGGCACCGGACACCCTCTGGGGTGGGGCTTTGTGAGAACAGCTATCGGCGCCAGTCCCCCCACAATGCCCGGAGCCCTGCTGACAGTCTGGCTCCAGTGAGTAGGGGAGATGGAACACCCTGGGGGATGGGGCAGAGGGCATACAGGGATGGTCAGGGTGGAAGGGGGGGCCCTGACCCAGGCCCTCCTTCTGCCCTCTTTGCCCTGTGTACCTCCAGAGTTATCTCCAGAGTCTTCGAGAGCGCCAGCTGGGACCAGGCCTCCAGGCCACAGCCCCTCACACCATTCTGGACCTGGATTCTGACTGTGGTTCCACTGTACCCCTCACCACACCTTCTGGTTCTACCTAGACCTGAGCCTAAACCTCCACTTTTGCCCCCACCCATAGTGAGGGCCTGGGAACACTAGGTGGGCAGGGCCTGAGCCCACAAGACCCCCACATAAACTTTCCCACCTACTGGACTTGGGGGTAGGATCTGTGCTCCAACCCAGACCAGCCCTGTAGGGATATGTTTCAAAGACAGATAGAGAGAAGTCTTGTGGGAAAGGGGGAGGAAGGAAAGTATGAGTACCTACCTCTGTCCAATAATAGAGGTACACCTAGTCCCCAAAGAAAATGACTCCCTAATTCCCATTCCCTCCAAACCAAGGAGGGCCCATACCCATACCCAAATAGCCTTTTTCTTTTCTTTTCCTTTTTTTCCTTTTTTTTTTCTTGAGACAGTCTCACTCTGTCACCCAGACTAGAGTGTAGCGGGGTCATTATAGCTCACTGCAACCTCAAACTCCTGGGCTCAAGTGATCCTCCTGCCTCAGCCTCCCCAGTAGCTGGGACTACAGGCATGTGCCACCATGCTTGGCTAATTTTTCTCTTTTTTGTAGAGATGGGGTCTCACTCTTGTTCAGGCTGCTCTCAAACTCCTGACCTCAAGCGATCCTCTTGCCTCAGCCTGCCAGCTAGGATTACAGGCAGTGTTGGACTCTTCTTGACTGGTCTCCTGCTAGGCCTGACCCTGGATGCTAGAGCCCTACTGGGCACTGAGCCCATCTACCAACCACCTTCAGCCTGAGTGCCAGGTGGGGGGCTGATGGGGCCCCAAATAGCCTTTTAAATACCCACCTCAGTGTGCCTCACCATGGTAAAATAAGGGGTTTTATTTTTGTAGGATCTATAGAAAATCAGAGAACCACAAGGCATTTGATAGCTTTTTGATGGAGAGAAGGGCACAGAGGAGCTCCAGGATACCCTAGCCCCCAGGACCCTCATTAGCAAGTAGTTGGGTTTCTGGTTGGCCTTTCCTCTGGACCCCATAGGTTTGAGCCCCCTTCTCCTACCTCAGTTGGGGAGCATTGTCCTCCATGGTGTTTCCCCTTCTCCCCTTCTCAACCTGGGGAAGATGATGGGGCAGTGCCTGCCTTAGCACCTGGCTCTCCCAAAAGCTAACTTCTTGAGCCAAGGAGAGAGCATTGGCCCACATGCCAGAGTCTTGCCCTTTTGCCCAAAGGAGGCTGGTCTTTGTGGCATGGGAGACAAGTGCCTTCTCTTCCTCTCACTGTGGGCAACACTAATTTCTTCCTTAACCAGAACTTTATTCCAGTTACTAACCCATTTTAACTCTCCCCACTCTGACACTCCAGCCCAAGATCCATTCCCTGGTTCTCCAGGCACATAAAGAAAGACATATCCCTCCCCTGGGCAGCAAGGCTATGATGGGAGAGAGGGAGAGCATGGGAGCATATGAATAAAATGACATCGAATACTGAACCAGGGAGTCCAGCCTCTACTGTTACTGATCTTTTCTTTCTCTGCACCCCAAAACAGAGAGTTAGCCATCTTGACAAATCATCTGTCCCCTAAAGATTTGATTGAGGTACCCTTGTCAGACAGATTACTATGGGAATTACACATCCACACAGCTAGAGGAAGAACTGTTCAGTCCTCTCTTATGAAAATGGACTTAGTCTTTATTAATGTTCCAAACACTGTGCCAGGCACTTCACATATAGTATTTCATTTAATGCAACAACCCTGCAGGATTGATATTAATTGTTTTTGCAAATAGGGAATCCAAGGTTAATTAGCTCGCCTGAAGTCATAAGCAAGTAAATGTGATTCTCAAGGATTCCAAAGCCCTTGCTCATTTTACTGGCCATGCTATTTTCTTGCACTTTAGAAAGAACAAGGACCCAGGCATCCAGCCATGTCAGCTGTTGCCTCCTGTCAGGTAAAGGCCTGATTGACACGTTCCTCCACCACTGTCCTTCAGAGAATAGATGACAAAGTTGAAAGTGTTATCTAGGACAGGGAGGAAACGGATGGAGTTGTGGGCTGAATCCAAGTTAGGGGGTGCTTCCCAGGAGGGAAAGAGTGCAGTAGAATGGTAGCTAGAGTTGGAACTGTTGGAGGCTGGAGGTCTATGGTCGTGCCCCTGCTGCAGCACCTGCATGGTTCTAGTGAGTAGACATTTGATTCCTGGTCTCAAGCCTCTGGGAGGGTGACATTAGCAGGGAATATAAGGGAAGTGGAGCCTATGACTGAGGGTATAACATCCAAGATTGTATCTGTGGGTGAATGGTCAGTATTCAAGGTGGTGTCTGTGGCTGAGGAAGTGGTGTCCAAGGTTGTTCCTGTAGCTGAGGGAGTGGTGTCTCCACTCAACGGGGTAACATCTAGAGTCTGGGAATGACAGTGCATCCAGTTGTGGGCGATATTTCTGGGATAGCCTTTCTCTACTTGAAGCTGCCAGTTGAGGCGCCAGTACTCTTTGCCCTTGAAGAAGTAGACTCGGCCATCCCGCCAACTCGTAGCAGCTGAGAGCTGGTCTGGCACTCCCGTAAATAACTTCTTGATTGGTTTGGGGTAATGGCTGAAGTCAGTGCGGGCTAGCTCGTCCCACTGCCAGTACCCGGAGCCCTAGGTGTGGGGTGGGTGGGGAGAAGAGGAGGATAAGGAGAGAGCTTAAGGATCCCCAGAGGTCTACCCCCAGCCCACTGCAATTGCAGATCTCCCTCCAAGAGCAAGTCTTTGCCTCCCAGCATGAGGTTGCCCACCCCTCCTAAGAAGCGATTTGCCCTTGTTTTGAACTTTATACCTTAAAGAGAAACACCTTTTGGTTGAAAGGCCAATAGAGAGCTGCATCCAGGTTAGGTTCTACCCTATTCAGCTTCTTTGGGAAGCCAGGAGATAGCTTGAAATTAATGTAGCGCCACGCCTTGTCTCCTGAGAGTGTGTGAGGAAAGAGCAAATCACCTCTGTCCTCAGGTGATAGCTTTGGTCCCCCCATTCCACCCTTTCAGAAATTTCTCCCTCCCTTTCTTTTATGGCTTTTGTAAAACTAGGCCCTCCTCAGACACTGTAACTAGTCCTCTTACCCTTAAAGAAGTGAATCCATTGTGTTCGAGGAGAGTAGACAGCAGCATCCAGATTTCCTGGGAGCCCCTCCCAAAGGTCAGACACTCGGAATAAGGGGCCGGGCCCTGAATCTGTCACAGTCCACACATAATTCCCCTTGAAAGCATAGGTCTTCCCACGGGGCCCTGAGAGTAAAGATGTGTCAACAAGTCAAAAAGAGAGATCAAATAGAAACTTGTGGGTGTCTCAAACAGGCTAATAATTTGCCCTCCTCCTACAGGCCAATTCAAAAATTCATTCAACTTTAATTCAAGGAGAAAATTAAAGGCAGAGAAGGAGGACCAAGAACACTTTGTTGTTCAGAGCATTTCAGCTTTGGTCCCCTCAACAAAACAGCAGATAGCTGTTCCTCCTTGAGAACCTCACCCACTACTCCAAGTGGCTTCCAAGTTGTCCTTCCAACCAGGTGCAACGCCCTCTCTAATAGGCATTCCAGTTAACATAGTTTTCTCCATCTTGCTGCATTTCCAGATGTGTTCTAGTGGTCCTGAGAGGGTAGCAACCTTGATAAACGCCTGGTTGGCCCACCTTTAATTTGGCTCTGAACCCTCCCTCTCCACACCACAAGTCTCCTTCCAACCCCTGCCTGGGGTCTAACCTCCATTGCTCATGCTGAAGTCCCATGTCATTCCCATTTGTCCAGGCCTCAGGGTCAGTGGGCTTCCCCCACTGCCTGCCAACAGTCTGGAGGGAAAGGGCCTCACCCAGCATCATGGCATCCAGTTCACCCCTGCAGGGGTCTGGCATGGGACTGGGTTCTGTGGGCACTGGGGATACAATGGGTAGTTCCATCTCTTCTTCTTCCTCATCCCTTGTATCTGGGCTCTTCTTGCCTGCAAGGTGAATAATGCTATTTAGGGAGAGAACTTATGGCACCTGGCCTCTCCGCTAATCTCCTGTAAGATCCGCTCAGAGGCCCCATAGAGAGGGGAAAAGGTAACCCTAGAGAGTTTCCCTTCATAGTTGGCAATATCATATTGATACCAGCAGGAGACATATTTTAGGTTTGAGAAACACCAGGAAGGGGGAAGGAGGTTTGCTAGAATGTGCATTCTCCATCCCCAAGAATGTGTGTGAGAGGAGAGAGGCCTGGAAGGAAGACTAGACATGGAAGAGTCAGAGAGAATCTGTTCCTGAAAATGAAGAATCCTGAATAATTGGACCAGAGGAAAAGAAAGAAACCAAGCTATTTGCCTCCTTGGAGGGTAGACCTGTTTCTTCAAGCCTAGAGAGATGCAGGTCGGACTGACCTTCATGCTCACTAGGGAGAGGGACTGACCATAGAGAGCCTGGATCCCTGCCACATCATCTGGGTGCAGCTTGAAGTAGGGCCTGTAGCCAGCGTAGACAGGGGCCATGAGTGCCTGGGTATATCGGGAGTGCCCAAGCCCCAGGGCATGGCCAAGTTCATGGGCTGCAATGATGCGCAAGTTCACCCCCCTGTAGGTCCCCTCAGTCCAGAGCTCATCTTCATCGAAGTGCACGCTGCCCAGCTCTGGGATGTCGGCATGCGCCAGGACCCTCCCTGGACAAAGGCAAAGGTGAACAGGAAGGAGGTCAGAGCACACTGAGCTGGAGCATACCCTGCCAGTTAAAAACTCGAATTAATCTATTCCCTTCAAATTTCCCCAGCTATATTCACTGTCTCTTGGATGCTTCTTTCTCTCCTTTCAGATTCCCCTGTCATCATCCAGTTCTCTCAAGGATTCCCATCACTGTCCCTTTATCTCCCAACCACTGGCCCAGTCCTCTCCAAGGTGTGCCTAGAGTAGGGGAATTTAAGGCAGGGAAGGAGGCATAAGCTTCAAAGAGGAGGCTTGGTAAGGCCACAGGTATGTGACCAACTGCTCCCCTAGGGAATGTTAGAAGGTGACTAGAGAGTGTAGGGTGCAGGTGGCACAAGGGGAAGCCTGAACATTAAGGTTCCAGAGTCACTGGGTCAAGGAGACAGGTCATTTCAGGGGTCTGCGAGGTGGGAGCTGAGAATATTGCCTACCAGGCCCATCAAAAGTATTGGAGCAATAGGGGCTTTGGCGACCATGAAAGGAGAGGCGGATGTCAGCCCAGCCAGCCTGCACCTCCCGGAATGTCAAGGGAGCCACATTGCTCCAGTATTGGAAGGCTTGAAGCAGGGCTTTCCGGGCTGTGTGGGGTGGGAGGGTGGAGGGCAGGTTCAAGATGCGAAAGGTCAGTTGCTTCTTTCTCCAGCGGCCTGGTTAATAGACCAGAAAATAGATTAGAAACACAGATCCTCTGACAACCCCAGAGAGCTTCCCTAGGTCTGGGCACTCACAACCCTTCTAGGCAGGTGATAACCAAGTGATCATCCATTCAACACTGAGCTGGTCCAGGTGGTCCTGATGCCACCTGAACTCCAGAGCCACACCACCCTCTCCTCTCCCCTTTCCCAGGCTCAGTCCTCACCCAGCAGCAGATATTTAAGAGTCTTCTGGTTGAAGGGGTCCTCTAGGCCACAACGAGGCTGCCTCATGCGGTCCCTTGTGGCATCATCCAGCTGACCTGAAACTGGCAGTTCAGATGCTTCCTGAAAAGCTCTGAAAGAGGGAGAGAGATGAGTTCAACAAGGCAGGGGAATCTAGAATGACTGGGAACTAATAGCTCTTTGGCCTCCTGCTGCCCAAGGTGGTAGCCAAGAGTGGTACGGAATCTCTGAAACTGTTGGGGTCACTCCAGCCCCCAGTACTCATAATTGGAACTCTCCCTTCCATTCTGCAGAAATGGTGACACTCCCACTTCACCTCCCCATTTTCAATCTCTTTTATCTGAGTAAGGTTGCCTCAGGTGTAGCCTTCCTCCACTGATGCAATTTCTAACCTTCTGCTTTGGGGAGTTATCTGGGACCCTGCTCTGCAGATCTTCCCACTAGTGCTTCCACCCAATGGCCTGTCCTCCCTCAGCTTCTCCCCTCCTGGCTGGACCCCTTCCCAGCCCAGCCTGCGCTGGGGCAATTACATGCACCTATGGACTATCTTTGGGCCTATGGGCTTTTCAAGGGACCTGAACATATCTGAGAGCAAAAAAAAAAATAATCCATTACATCTAAAATATAAAACTACAGAATAGAAATAAATAAATGCTGAATTAAATGTCCCCAAAAGGTAACATCATGTTAAGAATTCAACTCAAGGCCGGGCGCGGTGGCTCACGCCTGTAATCCTAGCACTCTGGGAGGCTGAGGCGGGCAGATTGTTTGAGCTCAGGAGTTCGAAACCAGCCTGAGCAAGAGCAAGACCCCGTCTCTACTAAAAATAGAAAGAAATTAATTGGACAACTAAAAATACATAGAAAAAACTAGCCGGGCATGGTGGCGCATGCCTGTAGTCCCAGCTACTCGGGAGGCTGAGGCAGAAGGATTGCTTGAGCCCAGGAGTTTGAGGTTGCTGTGAGCTAGGCTGACGCCATGGCACTCTAGCCCGGGCAACACAGTGAGATTCTGTCTCACAAAAAAAAAAAAAAAAAGAATTCAACTCAAGTTGCAGTTATACATATAAATTATACTTCATATGGGCTATAGCTAAGTATTAGTATTTGGGATATGATGTGGGATGGAACACACAACAGAGTGCTTAGGGCTTAGGAAGATCCAGTGACTGTGCTCCTTATCTTTGAATTCCCATCTCAGCCCATGCCCCACCACCCTAGCAATGATAGCCACCCATTCTCTAGATCCCCAATGTGGATATGGGTCAGGCAGAGGTGAGGCTGAAGAGAAGAAGGGATGAGAAGAGAGAAGAAGACCTTGTGACCTCAATCTTGAAGGCATGTACCTTATGACCTCTCACCTCAGAGCCTCGGTGATATCTTCTGGCCTGAAGTCATCAGGTCCTTCTAGAGGCTTCTGTAGGTACCCATATTGCAACAGGTACTCCTATGATGGGGTGGAGGTAAGCAGGTTAAAAAGAGGGTTAGTCTCAGGGTAAAGCTTCTTAGTGACCTAACAGGCCCCTCAGGAGAGGAGGGGCCAGGTCTAGAGGGACTAAGGAGAGGCACCTTAGAGAAGGGGCTCAGGTGGAACAAGGGAAAGTGCAGGAGATGGGTAGGGAAGACCATGGGGCAGAGAAAGCAAGAAAATGGCAGGCAGGCTGAAGGTCAGGAGAGGGGCTTGGATGGGACTGTGGAGCAGTAACCCTTGTCCCTCCCCTGGCCTGGGTCTCTCTTTCCCAGGGGACTCACCACAGCTGCCTCCTTCTCTGCAGGCCCCAGGGCCTGGCGTGACACTGTCATGGGGAGTAGGAAACCCAGCCACAGCTGCCACCAGTCCATGGTCCCGACGGACAAGAGCTCCTGAGGCTGTGTGTGCCCTCTGACCCGAGATTTCTGGGAGTCTAGGGAGCAGGGCTAGGCAGGGGGGCTCTTACCTCCAGTTCTTTGTACTCTCCAGCCTCTGGTCCTCTTTTTAAAACTTCAACTGAGGGGAATTGGGGGGAAGTGGCAGTGGGAGGTGACTCAGCCCAGAGATATGTTGCAATTCACCATTAACCCCTGCCCTCCCAGAGAGTGGAAGCCAAGGAGAACCCCCAAACCCTTTTCCTAGTGTCCTCTGCTGGAGATGGGAAGATATTTCATACTGGCCTGGGGTGAGCGTCCTGGCAATATGAGAAGCAGAATCTCTGGAGAGCCATCCCCTGCAGTTGGACATTCCTGTGCTCCAGAGACCCTGGGCCAGAAAATCCCTCAGCTTCAACCTTCAAGAGTCCCTGTCTGCTCTGGAATAGGAAAAATAAATAAATCAAAGCTAAGAGGTAGGAGACAGCCGAGGTAGCTTGAGTTTCAGGTGAAGGAATCAAGGGTGAGGTCTCAGCTTCTTTGCACGCAAGACCACATTGGGAACTTAAATGCTCTTGAAGCCTACTTATGTCTGCTTTAATAAAACGTCATTGTTTCAAGCATTTAATGAGCCCAGAAGGTGTGAGTGGAGGTGGGGTTTAACAAGAGCACAGGCTGGGTGCGGTGGCTCACGCCTGTAATCCTAGCTCTCTGGGAGGTTGAGGCAGGAGGATAGCTTGAGCTCAGGGGTTCGACACCAGCCAGAGCATAGTGAGACCGTGTCTATACAAAACAGAAAAAAGAAAAACAAAAATTATTTGAAAATACGCAAAACCCAACCGAGTGTTGTGGCGTGCACCCGTAGTCTCAGCTACCGGGGAGGATGAGGCAGAAGGATCACTTATAGCCCAGGAGTTGGAGCTTGCAGGGAGCTACAATGACATCACTGTACTCAACCCAGGGATTGTTCTGGGTTGTCTCAACAACAACAACAATAAAAAACCAAGAGCACAAAGAAGTAAAGGGCCCAGAGCCTGCCCTCGGGGAGCTTACAGATAGGGTGAGGCAGACTCAAACACCTGGAAAGAGGAGAGCCAGGATGCCAGGCAGGAGGTAACCCATCCTAGAGGTCCTGGAGCTGTGAGGAGGTTCACTGAGAAGGCAGGTTTTGAGCAGGGCTTTGAAGGCCAGCTAAGAATCAGATGGGGTAAGATTACTAAGAGACAGACAGAATACAGGTCTTGAGTAAAAGAGCAGAGCTGAGAGCCTGCTGCACTCGGTGAGTAAATCTGAATGATCAGGATTGCTTAGTTCACCACTGAATCCCTACTGCCTACCCCAGGCCAGCTCCTTGCTTTAGAGGAGTGCTTAATAAATCTTTGTCAAAGGAATGACCTGGGCGGGAGCCAGAGTTTAGTGAGGGCCTTGAATGCTATGTAAGGGAAAGAAGAAAAACTTACATTTAAAAATATCTGCTATGTGCTAGGTGCTTTATATATTATCTCATTTAATTCTCACAACCATTGTGGGAAGGAGGAATTATTCTGGCCCTTTTTTTTTTTTTTTTTTTGAGACAGAGTCTCACTCTGTTGCCTGGAGTAGAGTGCCGTGGCGTCAGCCTGGCTCACAGCAACCTCAAACTCCTGGGCTCGAGCAATCCTACTGCCTCAGCCTCCCGAGTAGCTGGGATGACAGACATGTGCCACCATGCCCGGCTAATTTTTTTCTATATAGATTTTTAGTTGTCCAAATAATTTCTTTCTATTTTTTAGTAGAGACGGGGTCTCGCTCTTGCTCAGGCTGGTCTCGAACTCCTGACCTTGAGCGATCCACCCGCCTCGGCCTCCCAGAGTGCTAGGATTACAGGCCTGAGCCACCGCGCCCGGCCTCTGGCCCTTTTTTATAGGAGGAAATAAAGACTCAGAGATGGAAACTTGACCAAGAACATGAAGTTCCTACCTAGCTTGGCCTATATTCAAATACCTCTATTGATTCCATAACTCACGCTCTTTCTACACTGACTCTTAGAGCTTTGTTCTTTCAGTAGTTAGGAGCTACTGAAGGTCCCAGTCATTTACACATCACATGACATTGGCATATTGTTCAAATGCACAGTGAAGACATAGGAATGAGGGAAAGGCTTACTGAACTATCTTCTCAGTAGGACCCCAATTCTGAGCCCTTTCCCACACCCTAGGCTGAAAGGCTGGGAGGCCACAGGGAAACCCTTCACAGCCCAGAATCAAGGGGGACACTCCTGACTCATTACTGCCCTCAGTGATGCTGGTCCTTCTGACCCATCCAGCCAATTGGGTAACAATTGGATGACTAAGTCCCAAGTGACCAGTGACAGGCAAGGAAGGACAGAGAGCCTCTGAGCAATGAGTGACAGAGGCCATCACCAAGGCTGGCATACCCAGGAAATGATGGAGTTTGGGGGCCAGCTCCTGCTCAGCCCCCTGCAGGGCTCTTTCTCATCACTCTCTCCCTCTTCCTTCCCCCTACCCTCTAGTCCCTCTTCTTTTAAGAACAGGACATGAACCAATTGAAAATTATAATTGTTTTCAGACTAATGTTTTCTTGTCTTTATTCTGTTTAAAAGTTATCCATCATTCATTGTAGTAAATTTGGAAAATATCAAAATAAACAAGAGAGAAAATGAAAACCACCAATAAATTCTACCCAAAAGAGAACCACTAGTAACATTTTGATGCGTTGACTTGAAACAGTCTGTAGACCTGAGTTCAGCTCCAGCTCTGCCTGCCTGTCCTCAATCCCTGGAGACTATGGCTGGGACGGAGGAAAAAGCGATTGGAACCACTGAGGAGAATGGGGCAGGGACAGGAGGGGGAGTACAAGGGAAAGGAGTAAAATAAGATGACTATGACAGCAAATTACTCCCTCTCCTTAGAAACCTCATATAAACAAACTACAAACAAAAGTGTGTGTTAATGTGTCAGTAAGAGGGATGGTGGTTATCATAAAGTGAGGGACGGGCACTCACTCTGGCCTTGGAAGGCCTGGGGAATGGAACCACATTCTAGCAACTAAGGAACCAGGAGAGGGGAGAGTACAAGAATAAAAGCTGCCAAATAGTTTACCTTATTTAAACCTCAACAACAACCCTGTGAGCCTGTATTATCACCATTTTACACAAAAGGAAACCAAGTCTCTAATAAGTTGCCTCAAGTCATGCAACTAGGAAGCAGCAGAGCCTTAGGGCTCTAAAACTGAGATCTGGCCAGCAGGGTGGCTCATGCCTGTAATCCTAGCATTCTGGGAGACCAGGGCTCGAGGATCACTTGACGTCAGGAGTTCAAGACCAGCCTGAGTGACAGTGAGACTCTGTCTCTACTAAAAATAGAAAAAAATTAGCGGGTTTGGTGGTGTGCACCTGTAGTACCAGGTCCTCGGGAAGCTGAGGCAGGAGGATCACTTCAGCCCAGGAATTTGAGGTTGCTGTGAGCTGGGCTGATACCATGGCACTCTAGCCCCAGCAACAGAGCAAGACTCTGTCTCAAAAAATAAAATAAAATAAAGCTGAGATCTTTGCATGGCACTCTTCAGCCTCACCAGAGCTCCCCCAGGCACCCAAACAAAACCCCCTACATCCCATAGCTATGTGCAAGGACTGTATGACTAATTGTCCCCACCACAGCATCATGACCACCCCTTCCACCAACCCCTACCCCTTGAGCCAGGCTGATCCAGCTCTTTTTCCCTCTGAATTTGTCATCTCTCACTGGGGGAGATGTGGGAATGTGTGGGAAGGGTTAGGACATGTGGCTGGACTGCCCCAAAGGAGAACTTGATTCTAAGATAAAAAACCCTTGGATCCTTTGGTTTGCTTGTTCCCTTCCTGAAAACGAGTTTCCCTCTCAGCCCACAATTGTGGCAGAGAGATTTTGCTTTTGTTTTTGTTTTTGTTTTGAGACAGAGTATCTCTCTGTCGCCCAGGCTAGCTAGAGTGCGGTGGCATCATCATAGCTCACAGCAACCTCAAACTCCTGGGCTCAAGCGATCCTCCTGTCTCAGCCTCCCAAGTAGCTGGGACTACAGGCCCGAGTCACAATGCTGGACTAATTTTTTCTATTATTTTCAGTAGAGATGAGGTCTCGCTCTTGCTCAGAGCTGTTCTCAAACTCCTGACCTAAAGCAATCCTCCAGCCTCGGCCTCCCAGAATGCTAGGATTATGGGCATGAGTCACCTTATCCAGCCTGCAGAAGAGTTTTACAGAAATATTTTTAATTAAAATATTTTCAACTGTAGCAGGAAGGAGAAGGGTAGACTTCTGAGAGCATTTTCTAATGATCAGGGGCCATGGGGCTATGGGTGGAGGGCAGAAGTTTGTAGAGGTTTGTTAGCCCAGGAGAAGCCAATCTCTAAACCATCACCCACCCCCTCTGACAGCCACCCTTACCCTGTGGAGGTGGGAGGGGCAGGGAAGTTGGGGAAAGAGGCATGAGGTAAGCCTGAAGCTGGAAACTGGAGGTGAGAAAAATGTGATCTGTAACTACATTAAGGCTGGCCCAGACCCTGCACTTGATCTAGAGAAATGTGGGAGGGGGTGGTATTACCCTCTGGCCTGTTTTTCCCTCAGATCCCTGAGGGAGTCAGGAGACAGGGAGATTTCCTTGGCTGAGTGGGATCAAGTTCTCCCAGCTGTTACCCTGGAAACCTCTGTTTCCAAGAGGATCCCCCCTACACACACACACACACACACACACACACACACACACACTCCTTTAATTAGTCATAAGTTCCTAGAAGCCACATGGGAAGTGATGGCCAGGACTGTGCACAGCTGAAACTGGTTAGTGACCAGGGAAGGGGGAGGGGTTTGGGGATGGCTCAGGGACTGGGCCAGAACATTCTGTTTCCGTGATGCCCCAGACTTTCTCAGTCCCTGACATGAACACTTTCTGGCACTCCCACCCACCCACTGCAGCTTGCACACAAACCCACTCTGGCCCTGGCCTGCATCAGCTCAGTTGAGAGGACATCAGACCCAAATGGAGAGTTCTTCAGTTCTGCCAAAGCGTAAGGGATACCAAGATATGATCCCTTCAGAAAGAGGTGCTATTC